TTTTGTAACTTTTTCAAATATTTTAAAAATATTATAAAATTTAAAGAATATTCATGTCATATTCCAAGTAAATATGCTGATTAGAACTTGAGATATTATGGCGACCGCTTTAAAAAAAGTAATGTCGAGAAAAACACGTTTTGCGATTCGCCCACAACTCAAACCGGCCCAGTTGAAACGATATCTAAATACCTAAATTATAAGCTCTACTAATAGTCTTGCGAATCAATTTTGCGATCTCCATTTCTCGCTTACAAGCCCCTACTTTTTGAGATATCGATCAGAAAATTTGTATGCACCGTTTTCTCTCCAAAATGTTGCTCAGTCAGCATATACTTAGTTGTCATACAAACTGATCGTTCAAAATCAAGCTCTTGTGTGGCAAACTTGTTTAATTGACAAGATGTCATTACAAAATTTGGCACGTATTATTGTCCAAGGCAACGCTACAATCTCCAAACACTTAGGTCAAATCGCTGCACTATAGCAAACTAGCCGATCAAAATAAAGTTATAGTTCCTTTTATACCCTTTTATGCTAAAAAATGCACCTAAGAAGGGTATTACAGCTTCGGTACAGCGGAAGTTAACGTTTTTTCCTCATTTATCTATTTATTTATCTATTAAAACGTTAATGATTTTTAAAACGATAAAATTTTTTATACTCGTAAAAGAAAATCTCTGAAAGAGAATAAACTACAAACAACGGCATCGCTCAACATTTACATTTTTCATTGGAGTATAATTATATTTCAACATTGGTACTACTTTTTTGACCGGCGCTGTGCGTTATCATAACTTCTGCTTACTTAAAACATAATTTTCGTAACTGCATATAAATATGTAAATATATACAAATACATGTACGTACATATGTATGTGTGAAAACTTATATGAAATTTAAATATTTTGATGATCGTAAATCAATAATGGTTCAATTCCGAGACGTGATCAGATTTCCAATGGAGTCCGCGTGGCCGCACAGCAAAAACACGATTATGTCATACGAATGCGCGTACGATGTTGGATTTGTTAGTGCAAGAAAATTTGTTTTTTGTGTTTATTAGTTAAATGCAGTTGTTACATATAGAAATTGACTGTTTTTTTATACAAATGTACACATACATAATACATACATACATATATGTGTTTACGAGTAAACGACATAAATAATGCTATACACATTAATATATGCAATATAATTGTAATATGCATGTATTTATTACTAGGCCATTCTCATTCTTCATAAAAACGTTTAAGCCTATTTTGAATATAAAATACTATAACAGAACTGTTTGTAGCAAATGATTTAATTATGTAACAAATACGTACATATGCGTAATGTACTGTCTATTTGTATGCATGTATGGGCGTGTGTTATGTCAGACATTTTTTGAATTTAAAAATTTAAAATTTACTTGCATACACATGCAAGCATACATATGTACTGAAAAAATAGAAAAAAAAAATTTTTTAAATATTTTAATTTTATCAACAGTAGTTTAAGTTGTAAATATGTACTTACAAATACAATATTATGATATACTAACATACCAAAGCGATAAAACCTAGTACATTAAACAATATTATAAACTACATACATACATACATATATGTGCAACATATATAGTATATAAATGATATGAGTATCTAAACTAAAAAAGCTAATTAATTAAAATTGAATGTCGAAATGTTGCTGCTGTGAATTTCATTGACTTATTTTTGGACATATATTTTTTGCGAATATATGAAACACAAAAGTAGACCGATAGGGACAGCCAACCACTTCATATTTTTCCCCGCTCTTTTGACATTTCTCTTCAGTAAGGTTTGCCATTTCATCATGGAAAGATATACGTTCCAACAAAGAGTCAAAATTATTATAATTTATTACCGAAATTCGTAGTCAGTGGGCTCAACTTTAAGATTTCGGTCATCATAATCTTCCTGATCAATAATTGAGCGTCTAGTAGAAAAATTTGCATCCACAGCACATTACAAAATGTTCCATTGCCAGTGAAACAAAGAAATGTCCGTAGCATCGAGAATTTTGCTGGCGCTAGCGCATCAATTGAGAAATACCCAAATCTTCTCAAGCGTTGGGCATCTCTGTGACGTCGTTGCGGCGAAAAGATCTTAGTCTAAATCCGTAAGAACTGGAGCTGCTCGACCACCAAAATCATCGTATGTTCATTGTTGAGCTGAGCAACAACTCGAAAATTAGACGGATTTTCATCAAAAAATCATTTCAGAGATGCGGCTCATTTCTGGCTGAATGGCTTCACCAATAAGTCACCATTGCATCCCGAAAAAATTATAGTATGGTACGGTTCTTGGCCGGCGGCGTCATTGGGTCGTATTTCTTCCTTGATGATCAATACCGTCACATTACTGTGAATGCGAATCGCTACCATTCAATGATAACCAAGTATTTTTGGCACGAAACGAATGATATAGACTTGGATAATATGTGGCTATAACAGGACGACGCCGCAACCCACACACAGCGAATGCCACAATGGATTTATTGAAAACCAAATTTGGTGAAGGTGTTATTCCACGAAAGCCCAGTTAATTGGCCGTCTCGGTCGTACGATTTGACGCCGTTAGAATATTTTCTGTGGGGCTACGTCAAGTCTATGGTCTATGCGAAGAAGCAAGCATGCCTGTGCTAGCCATTGAAAAGAAATCGAGTTCCATTCATAATAGCAACGAATGTACTTTGCCAGGACTAAATAATTACATTAATACCCCAAACCCTTTTTGTTTTATTTAAACTTTTAAAGTGCTCTTATTGAAAAATCCGTTACTACAATAGTTCAACTTTGTTTATACTTTTAAAATTCTTAATTTATTCTTCCAAATCTAGGTCGTCCTCCTCAAAGTAATGCTCTTTGGCCCCAATACACTTGTGCCAACGTTTTTCCCAATCCTCGAAATAGTTGTTAAATTCAATTTTCGGAATAAGCTTCAATGCGCGTAGCGATTGACATTTAATGTCTTCACTTGGCTCAAAAATGTTGCCTCGGAGCGATCGGTTGAGTTTGTTTGAATAGCTAGAAGTTACACAGAGTTACAGCATGCGAACACGATAGTTGCGGCATAATATTGGTTGAAAATTTTGTTCACGAAGGATCAGTATGCGACGCAGCATTATCGTGATGCAAAAATCAAGAGTTGCCGGCCCTTAATCCCCGCCTCTTTTTACGAAAAGCTTCGCGCAAACGACGCATAAGACTCAAATAGTTTTCCTTGTTGGCAGCTTGGCCGATCGGAAAGAATTCGGAGTGCACCACAACTCAATAATCGAAGAAAATTGTCAACATAACACTGATCATTTACCTGCTTTGGCGTGGTTTTTTCGGCTTCGATTCTCTTTTGCCACGATATTCGGCCTATTGATTGTCTGTTTCCAGGTCGTAAGTATATATCCAAGATTCCAGACCAGTATTAATACGTTTCATAGCATCCTGGTAGTCAGAAACTATTGTTCAGAGACGTTTACACGACGCTGTTTTTCGAAAAAATTTAGTGGTGTTAGAATAAATCGTGCGTAGGTCCAAATGATAACACCATTGACCTTACTGTTTATATTTTGGCAAGGTCAATGACCCCTTTGTTCACCTTTTATAAAGTCAATGACCTTTTACATTTAGCGAAGTCCACAACTTTTGCTTACATTTTACCAAGTCAACAACCTTTTTGGGAACACTTTTTCATTTGACTAGATATGTTCATGAAATTTGACATGAGATATTGGCTAACGAAATAATGCAACTTTCGAAGTAATTGTTTAGATTCTAATTACTGGTTTGCTTATATAGAGCAGGCTGGCAGCCAGCTTCTCTTGAAGTCACCTTATGACTTACACATCAAATCACAGCGGGGCACGATAGTCCTCTAAACACTGTTCATGCCAAGTGCATGTTGTACTTATTTAGAGCCAGCTGTCAGCCGGTTTTCTGTGAGGTCACCTAATAACTTTTAGATCACATCACATCGTAGCGAGAGAGTCACCCAAGGACTGGTCAGGCACGGTGCCTGCTTTGCTTATATAGAGCAGGCTGGCAGCCAGCTTCCCGTGAGGTTTATCTCCTGACGTCACCTAAGCCTCGAAACCAATATAATAAAATATTATATGGCACCTTTAATATATGATATAGTGGTCCGATCTGAATAATTGCTTCTGTATCGGATATCCCGCCAAATGAGAAAGTTTTCCATGCAAGCACTTGATTCCGATCGTTCTGTTTGATGACATGCTTATTGGTCGGATATGGGCGGTTCTGACAAATAAAACAGCTTTTTAGGGAGAATATCGGTGAGCATATATAGCAACTATATGCTCAGTTCGGTGACTATTCCTCAGCTACTTGAGGAGAAAAGGAAGGGTGCAAATTTTCAGATCGATATCTCAGACATTGAGGGATTAATTCGGATATATACAGACATACAGATGGACAGGCCTGGCTATATCGACTCAGCTCATCATTTTGATCATTTATATATGGTATATTTTTTCTTCGTTTGTCACAATGGGAATTACAGGAATACAATGCTCAAAATTGTTAGGCAAAGCTTAGTTGGTTCTTGAGTTTAAAAAGAGTATTGATTGAATAGAACCTAAACGAAAGTTAATTGGTATGAAAGATAAAAAAATGAGTTGGTTCAGCTGGCCGGTTCCAAGATGGATTGGTTCATCAGAACTACACCGAGAATTACAATCAATTCTTAGAAAAATATAATAAAATACAAAAAATGCGTTACGTGAGTAGTAAAATTGATTTCCGGTGTTTTTCAAGTTTAGAACATCTGTATATAGGAGAGTGTTTTATGCTTTGTTATAGACCATAAGAGAACATAAAATGGCAAATTTACCACAGAATCTGTAAACTCACCACACATTATGCAAATTCACCACATTTTGAACATTTTAGAATTAACTGTTTCCACCATTTATATTTGCACCCACAACCACTTAATTGAAAAAAGTAAAAAAAATTTAATGGAATCATAATTTAATGGGACATTTAGTACAACAAAACAAAAAAATAACAAAAATCAACAAATAATGAATTCTAAAAAAGTTCGACTGTTATAAGAAGCTTAATACATAATCTACAAATATGTATATGTATGTGTATACATACTTCGATTATACATAAGTAAGTATAGATGCACTCCGTCTAGCGGAATGCATTAAAAATTGTACTAATTCAAGGCACTAAGTACTCGTAGAAGGATTGATGAAATTTATATACAATAGCGAGCGCAGGACTGGTAGCGCCACGTCATCCACACTAAATAAGGCACTAAGGTGCTAGCTTAAAATTTTTCCGCCGCTGGTGGCCCGTACTCGGCGGCTGGTGCCGGTGGTGGGCCATATTGTGCAGCTGGCTTTTGTTGTTGCTTGTACTTGATGAAGTACACCTCCGGTTTGCTGGGCTCAGTTGGCGCTGGTGATGGCAGTATGAGTGGTTGTTGTTCCTCTGGTTTCTTCACCAACACATAGACGAGAGTCTTGTGCTCATCCTGCACTGGTGGTGGTAGTACCTGTTGTACGGGTGCTGGTGGATTTGGTGCCTTAATGAAGATAATCTTATAATGTTTCTTTGGCACGGCAGTCTGGATGGGTTCGGCGGCTTGGAAGACTTCTGGCTCCTCTGGTGGCACATGAACGTAAACGTTCTTGGTGACAATTGTCTCAGGCGCTGGTGGACCGTAAAATGGTGCGGGTGGACCATAAACTGGTAGTGGTTGAGGTGCCGCTGTGGATGGTGGGCCATATTGCTCCGCTGGCGCTGGTGGTGGTGGGCCGTACTGCTTTTGCGGCACTGGTGGTGGTCCATAGCGGGCGGACGGTGGCTCCGGCATGGCCATAGCCATGGCGAGTGTGCAGGCAAACACAAATAAGCAACGCATTTCGTTGTACTTTGTTGTTGTTATTAAATTAGATTAGTTTTAAACGGTTGAACTGTTGTCTTAAGCCTTAACGGTACTTTATGTTACGCGCTCGGTGAATCGTTTTGAATTGACATAATGTTTTGGGTCAGAAAATGCTTTTATAAGCATGCAAAATGCGGCTACTTCGGCACACGGAATTTCAATTGCATTCGTTTAAAAATGGCGTAATTTTACCAGAATGGCTTGCGTGCGGTAGACTTCACGTTTCGGCTTTTGCATGATTTTATTTCATTTTACTTCGTCCACACAGTGTGCCCAATTAAATTTATCGATATTTATTGTGCGTATGTGTGGCTGTGTGCTTTTAATTTTTGGCATAGATTTACAAAATGTTACGTTGCGCGTTCGCACGCCCGCAACGCGACTGCATCAACAATCGCTGTGCGCCAGCGCCGCGTCGCGAATTACGCGATTCAAGCCAGCCAGTCAGCCAGCTGGTCGTACGCTATGCGCATACGCAATGCGATTTCCGAGTTGCGCAGCGCGTCAAAACAATAATAAGAATAACCACAATCACAATGCAACCGACGACGATTAATGAGCGCACTTATCAAGCACATATGCGTATTGGGTAGCATGTGTGAGTAGTAATCGAAGTACTTCAATTACAAAATTTATTTGACTTACACTTTATTCGAAATTTTTCGCAGCTACATATGTATTGACTTTAGTCGCTGCTTCGGCGTCGGCGGCGCACACACTGTACACGATAGCACTTGTATGCCCGCCCAATCACTTTCGTGTCGACACCTTTTTGGGCTTCCCGGCGGTAAAGCCTACGAACTGCCAAAATCGCCAGCACTTTTCGTCACATTATGCCACCGTAAGCACTCCCCCACTCTTGCTGGGCGTCTGCCGGTGCCTGCACGCGTACTACGGTGGTCCGGCTTCGGTCAATGCATTGCACAAAGTTATGTAATTATCCAAAGTAAGGCGGCAGTGGGTGATTGCTCACGCGCGCATATTTATGAATACTTCGGTCAGGGCTATTAAGTACGTGCTAATTATTTATTTCACATTCCGTTGATCATTCATCAAAATATTTGCATACAAATATTTGCTTTTTATTGGTCACAAATCTTGCCTCAAGGACGGAAAAAGTAAAAGTGTCCTCGCTCGTATTCACATGAAATGTATGGAGGCATTAATTTTTTCCTCAATTCCAGTGGTTAAAAAGCAGGGTGATCCAAGTAGATGTACCTTTAACAATATCTTTTTTTTTTTTTGACAGATCGCGCATGAGTCGTGTCAAGCTGTCATGTAACTTTTGTTTAGTATTATTTGGCATTTCATCATGGAAAGACTTACGTCTGAATAACGTTTCGAAATCGTTCAACTTTATTACGTTCTGTAAAGAATGTGTTTCGCGCGATTCGCTCAACTTATGGTCAACATAAACGGTCTACTCAGCGTACTATTTGCAACACCATCACCCATCCTGAAACCCAGCATTCATTATTGGATAATATTCGACCGAACAGATCACGTCCAGGACTCAGTGAAGAAAATATAGTAGTCGTAGCTGTGAGTATACACGAAGACCGTGGATAATCGATTTGGCGCAGCAGCTCGGACTAACGCAACGCAATACAGCTTGTGCAAGAACTGAAGCCGTTCGACCTTTTCAAGCGACATCGCTTTGCTCTACGGACTCTTGAAAAGTTTCAATAATATCCGACGTCTTGTTCAGCGATGAGGAACATTGCTGGCGCTGTGGGTATGTAAACAAGCAAACTTGCCGCATTTGGAACGAAGAGCAACCTGAAGAGGTTCAAGGTTTGCCATTTTATACAGAAAAAACCATAGCTGTGTGTGGTGGTCCATATTTCTTCAAAAATGATGCCGCTGTGAACCGTCAGTGGCGACCGTTATCGCGCCCACGACAGTCGGGTCTACGAAAACCGGAACGGACCCGGATTATTATCCGGCCAAGGACCGTTAACTCGGCAGAATTTCTGCCGTTACAACAACAACAACAACAACAACCATTATCGCGCCATGGTAACCGACTATTTGATGCTTGAAATTAAAGCTCGTGATCTGGGCGACATTTGCTTTTAACAAGACGACGTCATATCCATTGCATCAATCAATAGATTTATTGAGAGAACACTTCGGTGAGCAGATAATTTCACGTTTTGTGTCGGTCGATTGGCGACCAAGATCGTGTGATATCACACCGTTGGACTGTTTCCTGTGTGGATATGTAAAGTCTAAAGTCTATGCGTACAATTCCTCTTCGATTCAAGCCTTCGAGCTAAAAATTACGCGTTCATATGCCAGTTACCGGTTGAAATGCTCGAACGAGTTATCGAAAATTGGATTAAATGGATGGAACATCTGAGACGTAGCCGCAGCCAACAATTGGTAAAAATAATCTTCAAAAAATAAATGCCAAATAATGTCCTTTCGAAGTTAGTAAGTTCTGAAGTTACTGTGTTAATTCTTAAAAAAAAGTAGGTAATCTCGAAATGTATCACCCTCCCCAGGTGTTAGTGCGAAATTTTTATTTTCATTTTGAGTTTTGTATTACAATGTGTGCCAAATAATTTATGACAAATTTAATGCTATAAATATATTAATTTTATTAAGTTATAGCTTTCTTATGGCTTTTGGCGCGTTTATTTATCTCTTAATTGAGAAAGAAGACAATTACAAAAAGAAAACTCAAGGGTTTGGTTGGATTAAATTGTTAGATAATCTTAATGAGTTAAAATTTTGGCCTCTGTATATTACTAAAACTCTTTTTACAACTTTGGTTAAACCTCAATTGGGATAGGGCTCTAGGTATAGAACCCTAGTTATCAAATCCATTCGGACAAGTTAGAGTCTGTTCAAACACAGTTTTAACTTTTCGTTTTTTTTAATGAAATTTCCGATGGAATTCTAGCATACATCTTCCTCCATACATTAATAGTTTAAAACACACTATACTTACAAGGTGGGAAGGAAATGCATAAAATTGATTTTGGAAATTCTGAATGGAACAATTTACTGTCGTTATCCTTTGCCGGAAGTTAAATTTACTATCTCGGTATGTTTTTGGAGTCATCCCTGCAGTAAAAATCGTTTAGATCAAATTTTATAATAAACTATCCTTTACGTCACATGCATATATCAGGACTTTAATTTTTATTCCAACACTTTCGATTTTTTTTTTTTTTTCATTAAAAATACGACACAATGATCGTTTCAAAGGTAATTGACCGCAGAAAGTCGTTGACCTCGCTAAGTGTTTACAAAAGAGCCAATTACCATGAATGGGTTGTCGACTGCGCTAAAGGCAATCGACCTCAAGCGGTTGTTGACCTCGCTAAATTTTAACGAAGAATTCATTGACTTCTGTGGAACGAATCATAATTGGCGCAGTAATCAACCTTTCCAGCCGACTTTTTCGTCTTTTCATGTTTGAGGACTGGTTCATAATGTGCAATCCACTAGGCTGACTGCCGTTTGGGCTTGACAATGAAATGATGGAGCCATGTTTGTGAAATTTGTGAAAAAATCAATGTAAATTTTTGGGTAGCCGCCATTTTACGAAATATTATATATACGTACTAATCAAGAATCCATTATTGTCAGATGTGCACAATTCACATTAATTAATTAAATAAACAAATCATAAAAATTGAGACTAATCTCAAAAACGCTCGAAATTCGTGTCCTAGACCAGAGTATCCATTTAATGTGTGTGTTTACATGAGAGCTCTTTTGAGTTCGGGAAATCCCCCTTCTGACAACAACAGAATATTGCACGATATTAAGAAAACAAAGTCTTCTATTGTTAAGTTCAGCAACTAAACCAGTTTTTTAAAAAAGTTTAAAAACGTGAGATTTTCTATTTTTTAATTTACATAACAATTTATGGCTTACAGCCAATGAGTAACAACACATTTCGGAACATATTTATACCCTGAACGGGGTATATTAAATTTGTCACGAGGTTTGCAACAGTCAGAAGGAAGCGTCGGAGACCCTATAAAGTATATACATATATAAATGTTCAGTATGTTGAACTGAGTCGATTTAGCCATGTCCGTCTGTCAGTCTGTCTCTTTGTATATATACGAACTAGTCCCTCAGTTTTTAAGATATCATTTTGAAATTTTGTATACGTAATTTTCTCTTCAAGAAGCTGCTCATTTGTAGGAACTGCCGATATCGGACCACTATAACATATAGCTGCCATACAAACTGAACGATCGGAAACGAGTTCTTATATGGAAAACTTTCACGTTTAACAAGATATACTCACGAAATTTGATACAAATTATTTCCTAAGGCAACAATGTAATCTCCGAAGAATTTGTTCAGATCGGCTCACTATAGCATATAGCTCACATAAAAACCGAACGATCGGAATCAAGGGCTTGTATGGAGAACTTTCGCATTTGACGTGGTATCTTCACGGAATTTGGCAGGGATTACTGCTTAAGGTAAAAATATATTATCCGAAAAAATTGTTCAGATCGGATTACTATAGCATATAGCTTACATACAAACTGAACACATAGTCACTAACATAAATGCACCGAAGTTAACGTTTTTTCTTATTTTCAAATAAATTTAAAATAGTTTCATTAATTCAACCATTAATTGTTTGCTTTGCCATTTTTATCATGACATCGTGATTTGGTCTTCAGATTTTCGATCATTTTATGAATATATTGGCTCCAATAATCCACTGCCTCTAAAATTGAAACACCAAAATTTTTTTTAATGATTGCATTTTTTAAGTCTAATTGGTTATATTTAAATATAAAAACTTAAATATATTTAAAAATAATTATTAATTTATAAAACGTGAGACATGTAATTAAATATACGAGGTGTGTTCAGAAAGTATCGCGAATTTTGTGTTTTTTCAAAAATTATTTATTTATTCATGAATATCTATTTTGTCCCCTTCAAAGCAATCCCCATGAGATATTATACACTTGTGCCAACGGTTTTTCCAATCTTCGAAGCACTTCAAAAAATATTTTTTTTTTATCTTCATCAGCTCCTCCTTCGATTCCGTCTTTATCTCGTCAAGAGAAGGTAACGTCGTTCTTTCATGGGCCTCTTCAGTTTAGGGAACAAGAAAAATTAAATGAACATTCAAAATGGCCGAGCTTGTCGGCATAGGTGAGAGACGTGAGTACCAACATAACGCCACAAAAAATTCGAAATTCGAATATACGTAACCCGCGAAAATTCAAAATTCGCGATACTTTCTGAACACACCTCGTACATATGTATGTACTGTAAAATCCCAATATATGAACTACCTTTATAGCCGGATACCTCTCATAAGCGGACAAATTTCATGAACACAACGTGTTAATGTTTTCATAAAAAACCAATTCCTTTAACCGGATATGAAAACGTTCCAATGACCAAACTCTGACACTAATTGGGTAATATTTCGTTCAAATTATCTCTGATAAACGGACAAAATTACAAAAAATTTTAAAGACAGTAAAGTAAAGTAAAACATGCAATTTATGGAGTTCTGCCAAAGTTTTTTTAAGAACAATGCGCAAAACGATTATCGCAAGCAATTTCACTTGAGCTGGAGGTGTCTGGTTCACGATGGCTCAACGGAAATTAACTGAATGATTTTCTTTAATTAACTCCTGCATAACACTGGCTCGCAGTTCAATAGATACCTTAAATAGTAGTTCTGAGTTACAGTTTCTGACTTTACGTATACATTTACACGTTTTTTTCAAGCCCCATATGTGAACAGCTCCTATAGCCGGACAAAAACATTGTGTCGCTGGGTGTCCGGTTATGAAAAATTTCACTGTATTTACAAAAAATACGCGCAAAGTAACATTTGTAACAAAAAAACACTGTGACAGTGTGTCCGGTTATGAGGAATTAGAAAAATACCTGTGATGGTAAAAGTCCGGTTATGAAAAAGTTCACTGTATTTACAAAAATGCGCGCAAAGTAGCATTTCTATAAAAAAAAAGAAAGAAGCGGAAGTCAACTGCGCATGGGTCAGTTGACAGTTAGCGCAAGGTTGCAATGTAAGGGCTACCTGTTTGTAAGTTTTGTAAATAATATTTCTACCAATAAGCAACCGTGTGTGACAGTGCTAAAGAGCGGTAAATGTTTATTTACTTTTTTACTGTTGTTTATCTGTTGCATATGTGCATGTGTTGGTCTTCATAAACGTTCTTTCAATCTTTTGGAGCTTCGGTTAGTCGCGACTTCATAGATTTGTTATGCAACTTTCACTTACTGTTATAATATTATGTTCCAATACTAACACGACACCCTAATGACTCCACAAGCAGCAACTCAAAGTCATTCTTAGAATTCAGTGTACTCACGTTAACAAAGCAGAGCTTTACTGCTGTAAACGCTGAGCTGATCGGTGACTAAGCTTAGTTTAATACGTACACAGAAGTGCCAACGACTTTAGAATCTGTTTTTTATAATTATAAGCGCAGTCAGTATATTGGTAACAAGCGCGGCAATTTACAAAAACAAGTAGCCAAAACAGTGATTTTTTCTGAGATAAATAAAATCAACAATTATTACATAAAAAAATCATATGTGTGTTAATATGTAAGTATTAGATAACAGTTAACCATTTGGAGTTTGCGCGGCTTCGTTGAATGCGGGAGAAATTATCATAATAAATTGCGGAACAATTAAAAAAGCAAACAAAAGCGTCTGGTTTTAAGTGCGAACACTTTTGATGCTCATTAGTGACAACTTCTCTTACTCTCGCTCACGAGAGACATCGCTCTTCTCATAATTTTTTCAAAATTTTGTAAGATTTATTTAAGCGGTAATAATAATAATAATAATACCCAACGATTACCCTCCTCCCACCCAACCGAAGCAAGGCGCGCAGGGCGCAAACGAGCCATTAGACGAGTCATAAAAGGCAAGAGAGTTTTTAAGCGTTGCAATCTTAAGCTGCTCGGCTACAGACACAAAAATTTTAGAGCCAAAATTAAGATTTAGATTAAAGTAGGTTTTTTTTTTATTTTTAAATTTGTTAAGTGTTTATAAATTAATAAAACAATGTTTAATGGTAAAGCCTGATGCTGTTAGATCAAATAACCTGGAATGAGAATTGATATCGCGCCATACATATGTATATGAAGGAAAGGTTCGTTTAACTCAAAATTTATTTTAGAAAATTTTAAAAGTAAACGTCTTAACTGCCTGGTTGAGTGAAACGGGAACGTTGAAATTAATATGAAATTCAAAAGAAATAATATTTCTCATTAACTACTTTTTATCCAACCACGCCATTTTTATATTCTTGCAAAGTGTTGCTACAGAGTTTTCTTCAGCTATCGAATTTTTACAACACATAAAAGTAATTGTGTTAGTTATCAGGTTATATGCATATAGTATATATATCTTAATGATCAGGATGACATAAAAAGTTGAAATCCGAGAGACTGTCTGTCTGTCTATCCGTCCATGCTTGTTGAAACTTGGTTCAGGTGTTCCTGTGTATGAGTAAAAATCGGCATCCAATCGGGGTTGATCAAATAATGAATGCTGAATTCTTGCAACAGTTTCTAATATGAACTTTTGCGAATACCTGAAGCTATTTCCTTAGTTTTGATCCTTGCACTTTGCAAAAGTATAATATGTTTGCTGGTCACACACAGTCTAATGACTCGCATAAATAAGTAAGCAGAAACTGTGAATATTTATACACAGTTTATAAACACAATTTCACAATTTCTTTTTACTATAGTTAAAAATTTCAATTCAAAAACAAACAAAAAACCAACAAAAGCAAATATCATTGAATTTAGTTAGTGTCACGAAGCTCTTTACAAAATTTGTTCCTTTCATTACTTTTGCATGCATTACACGATTAACAGTTAACTATTCTCCGCAACGATATTTAAAATGTTTTCGTCAATTATTTTTCGAATAATTTTTCTTTGTTCATGTGTTCTTAATCTTCTTAATATTGTCTTTTTAAAATGCCGGTTAAAAGCATATCGTTTGAAGTGGGCCAATTATTGTACTAAATATAATCACAAAATGGGTATAAACAAAAATGTCTGTATCAAAAATGTTCCCTATATCTGGTAAAACAGTGCATAATATGATAAATCGCGACGAAACAGAGGGACCACTTGAATCAAAGCAAGGAGAAGGTCCTAAACCAAAAATTACTGAACGAGCACAGCGTTTAATGACACAGAAACTTGATCAAAATCCCAAAATTTCAAAAATTACGATTGAGCTTAACGAAAAGTGAAATATTCAAGTTTTACATGGAACTATGCGTCAGGCCATACTTCGACACGAATATGAAACAAGATCTGCTGTTAAATAACCACTGCTGTCTGCAGAAAATGTTGAGAAATGTTTTTCGTTTGTCATGAAACTAATATCGGAACCAGTGCATGGTTGTGATGACATCATATTCTGTAAGGAGACTAAGATGATGTTGCATTACTATGATAGACCTATTAGAGTATGGCATAAGGCATTAACTTCATCAGAAAGACGTAATACAATTCCGACTGTAAAATTTGGCAAAATGCTGTCATGATTTGAGGCTGTAATTGTAACAGACAAGCCAAACTTCAAAATCTATCAAGGTAACGACCCTCAAAATAAGGAGTATATTGTGAAGATGTGGCTTCTATAAAACTGCGCAAAGTAATGGATACATCTGCTCAGAGGCTGGACATAAACCCCATAGAAAATTTGTGAGCGTATTTAAAAAGTCGCTAAAAGGCAGCCAAAGCCTTGACAACACTTGACACCAACAAAATTGATATGAAAGATATTGGTTTTTGTAATGAATTTGCTTTTTTTTTAAACCACTTCCCTTTAAATATTGTATGAAAATATGACCGAACAAAAAAACAATGCAAAATATATGTAAATAGTACAAATCGCCGACTTCGGTTCGTCAAGAATTGGAGAGCAGTGAATCGAACAAACAATTTGGCAATAATTACAGCGCAACTTGGTGCTATGCAGCATTTTCTCCGACGCATGCTCCACAGGTGGACACTAACAAAGAGAAAATATTTAACAGTTTCTCTTTAATAAAGACGAAAACGCAGTAACTTACGGCAATGTCAAGTGAAAAGTTTGTGAAATTATGTACTCGTATATCATTCGAGTTTCTTTTTTTTGTTTTACCAAGAGGAACGATCGTTTCTATGAGAGAAGATTAACACTTTACCTAAACAAAGGCAATAATTTATCCAACAAAACGGTGTATACCTGAATTTACCTTAACATATGAATATTCGGGGGTTCACAATAAGCAATATTGTTTTTAACGTTTAAAACTCCATTGTTATTAGCAAAATTCTATTAAAAGATTTTGTTTACGAGGGTTGCCTTTTATATTTGTGGACTACGGAACAAAACCAAAGTAATCATCGATAATCGCTTTATTGTTTTTCAAAAAACAATAAACAGTATATTTTGTATGCGTTTGAACTAATTGTCGAACCACTTTTGCCTCTCTGAATGAGGTACCTCGAAAACATGCGTTCTGAACGCATATGCGGCCTCTGATGGTATCAAAAAACGCTGACCGTTAATTTATTTTTTACGTACGGGGAAACGCGATTCTCGACAAATCTTGCCAACCGACTTTAAAAATACAGTTTCCAAAAAAACGGGTTTAAAAACGGCGCACTTTGCCTAGCTAGCCTCAAGTGCACAAGTTCTCAAATACTGTATGTAAACCCATACAACCTCTTAAGTTCATCGAACTTCGTTTTAAACAAGTAGGGCTGTCTCTTATACACATCTAGATGTGTATAAGAGACAGGTATAAAAATAATGGCGCAAAGTGTTTGCGATTAGATACATTTCTTTGCCCAAGTGAATATTTTAAATTACTGTAAACAACACAAATACCGTTCGTTTATCAAAACGTTCTGAGTATGTATAACATCAAAGATATCAAACGATAAAGTTGCGAGTCATTAGATAGCAACACAGGGATTGCCAAATTTCGAAATATAAAAGGTAACCTACGTATTAGTAAACAAATTATAGTGAAATTGATAAAGTCTTAATTTTTATGTGTAATAAAAAAATGTTAACATGATAACGAAAAAAAAAATAAAAAAAAAAGCTAGCTTCGGCTGCATAGAAGCTATAATACCCTACACAAATATAAAATATTCTTTAAAATTTGATTTTGACCGGTCAGTTTTTAAGGCAGCTGTGTGCTATACATAGTGACTCGTTTTCAAATATTTCTGCGGAGATTGCACCGTTGCCTAAGACAATAATCCATGCGTAATTTTCTGAAAATATTTCGTCAAAACAGCTTTCCATACAAGCACTTAATTCTAATCGCGGAGTTAGGTAATTTATTTGTTTTTATACCTAGAAGAAGGTATAATAGTTTGCCACGAAGTTTGCAACAACCAGAAGTTTTCAGAGACTCAGCACAATGAGCCGAGCCAATTTAGCCAGGCCTGTCGGAGCGTTTGTCTTTATATACACAAACTAGTCTCTCGGTTTCTGAGATATCGATCTGAAATTTTCCACACATCCTTATCTCTTCAAGAAGCTGTTAATTTCTAGGAACTGCCGATATCGGACCGCTATAGCAAATAGCTGCCATGCAAACTGGCAAACTGAACGATTGAATGATAGACAATTTTTAAAACAATGTTTTTTGTATTCGTAACGGGAAGCAAGGTATCCGAAGTCATCGTTTTTTTTTTTTTTTTTTTTTTGTTATTACTCGCTTTGTTGATAAATATATGGTAAACAAAAAAAAATTTTGTGTATTATTGCATTGTGTTCGAAATGTAGCGTATCAATAGAACGAATAAGCCCCGTATATGCTTGTAGATAACACACGCCCTTATCTTTTCTTATCTTCCAGCACCGTTTTGTTGTGCATAAATAGTTAGTTAGTGAGTTGTAGTCATTTCTTTGAAACAGCTGTGCAAAATGTTTAAAAAGAGTGCCAAGAAGGAACCAAATGACTCCAAAGAAGCTAAAAACAAAGCCCTGGTGCTTCAGGATCCCCGCATGAAAGTGCGCACTGCCACTGCGCATTCGGAGACAACGAATACGACCGAAAAAAGTGCAACGATTTTCGACAATGAAAATAACAAAATGACTCATCAAACCGTAAGGCAAACGGTGACGAATCAAAAGACTGCTCGTATCACTGAGATCTCAATACGTCGTACACCCACTAAAGAAGAATTGGCTGAGCTGTTAATGACGTCTGGTCCCTTTCCGAATTTCACCAATCCTACATCATGGACCAAACAGGAGACTACGGTAACGCAAACAAATGGCGGCACACAGACTTCCTTTCTACAACAGCAAAAAATGAAATTCCAACAGACGACTGGCACAACGATGGGGTCTGGTGCGTCGTGGAGAGATTTCACCAGCAGTAAGCCTACAACAACAACGTTAAACGTTCATGTCGACAACTATGCGCCACAGTCAATGCTTAGGGCGCTGCCAGCGCTTCCCAGCTCAATGCCACCGACTGGGTCATCATTGATTAAGCCCATTCGCAGTACAACAACAAGCGTATCTCCTCTTGTAAATAGCTATAGTCGCAGTACAACAACAACAAGTGCCTCTCCTCTTGCAAATAGTTACAGTCGCAGTCAAAGTGGTAGCGGAAGTAAGTTGGCCATCTCGAAAATAGGTACGAGCTCGAGTGACACTAGTATTGCAAGCAAAAGAGCAGCATTTTTTAATACCAATAAACCAGCAAGAACAACAACCTCAACATTTTCTAATGCCAAACCAGCAACAACAATAACTCCAGCTCCAACTTATGTCTCACCTTATGGCAATAGCGCATATAGGCCACGTGACGCGATTAGTTACACCAAACCCACAACCACCGCCAGTTCTATGTATCTCTCACCAATTTTGAACAGCACAAAACCGCTAGCAACAAAGCCTTTATCGCAAAGCAGCAGCTATACGCCAGCGATCAAGCCCCCGACGCAAACGTTGTCGCTGCCACAAAAGTCACTTAGTACCAGTGCAGTCCAAGTCAAGTCTAATCTAAAGCCGGGTTACGCTGTGATTTTCAATACCGTGGACTTTGCGGATAAGACGCGTTTTGACAAGCGCGATGGCAGCGATTTTGATGCGAAACTCATAAAGGAAACATTGCTGAAGTACAAATTGAATGTGGACACTAAAAAGAATCCTACAGTCAACAATATCAAGGATACTATTAGGAAATGTGAGTAATTTCTTAACATTACCAAAAATAATTCGAAATTTTTTGTTTAACCGATTGGACAAATCATAACAGCGGTACATTGTTACCTATCCTCTATTCTGGTATAATCCTTTACTCGAAGAACATTTAAATTCTTTGCCGATATCTCTCAAAAAATCATTAGTAAAACTTTTACTTATTAGGTCTACAACTTTGCTTCCGCCGTTTTGGTTTCCGAATGCTCGTATTGATTCCCAAATTGTGAGAGAGGGAGAGTATCTTTTTTAGCTCACATTGTCTATGTGGTTCCAATTTCGTTAGTTAGGATACCTCAACTCATTATCGTTTGTTCCGCCTCTCAATACTAGATATATTAAAGTATATATTTTTCTGTCTCCTGACTAATACTAGCTGTTACCACAGAGGCGTCTGTACTTAAGCCAATCTTAGGCCCATTGCACTTCAAACCGGGCCAGTTGCTCAGTGGGTTTGATATAATACCACTTTTTTGCCACCTCGGATGACCAAAGTCGGAAGTCAGTCCTGTCACAACCGACTAAAGGCTAGGTATTCACGAAGGTAATATGACTGCTTCCCCAGTAGCTCAGTGGGTTTGATAGCATAAGTCTTTTTTGCCACCCGGATGACCAATGTCGGCACTCAGTTCCGTCTTAACCAACGAAAAGCTCTGTATTTTGTCGACTCTATTTTATCCAGTTTATGAAGGTAGAACCTTAAATGTATTTGCCTTGTGCTAACCCCTACAATGTTACTTGGTGTATACTTACTTAAACATATAAGGTTTTGATATGTCCACCATGCACTACTCCCAAGGGAAATCTTATGTTTTACTGTTGTATATGATCTGAGGTGTTGCCCTAGAGTCTACGACCGGGCCAGATAGTCCGCCTTTTAATTTCCTTCTGTTCCTATATGACTAGGAACAGATAATTTTTACCGAGAAAGTCTAGTTATTGCTTAATTGCTTAATGTAGGCGCGACGCATAACTTCAACTGCGGCTAGACTATACACTAAGCATTAACTGTAAGCCCCTATTAGAACCACTATATACTATATAACTCTCCACTTGGCTGAGGTAAAAAAAAATACTTATATTATATACCGATATTACGAATATCTTTGTATAAAAATTACTAATTTTTTTTTATTTATTTCTAGTGACAACAAAGAATTTCAAAAATTATTCTTGCCTGGTAATCGTTATACTAAGCCATGGCAGTGCAAATGATTCGATTGCAGCCACCGATGGCGTATACAATTTGAACGAAGCCATACTCTATCCAATACTAGATATACCAACGCTGAAGGACAAGCCGAAAATATTCATTATACAAGCCTGTAAAGGTGACCTGGTACCGGGTGAATATAAGACAGATGCTTATACGACACGCGGACCGCCAACTGAAATATTGAAATGTTACAGTACTTTTGAAGGTAACAAACTTATAAATTAAAATAGAAAAACAATATATGCTCATATATGATCTTCTTTAAGGTTATGTGTCGTACCGCACCGACTCCGGCAGCCCATTCGTACAAGCCTTATGCGATGAAATTAAGTTTAAAGGAGATAGTACCAACATTGAGCAGCTCATGAAGAATGCCATAGCAACTGTGAAGACTAAAACAGGGTAGGTTATGGTTTATCGTTGCTTATTTACAAGATTACAAAAAAAAAATTTTATCGAAGTTTTATTTGAATTTGTAGCATATGCGTTTACCTATACCAAGTTACTTTTAAATTATGTAAAGATAAGAAAAAAACTTTAAGATGCTAAAAGGTTGACACATGCCTTTGCAGTTCCTTTCTTTTATTGTTTACATGCGTATTCCTCCAATTTGTTGTTCGTTTTAAATGTTTATACAATTTCAAAGTGATCTAAAATCAGTTGTTGTATTTTTATGATGGAGCGTGTTTTTACAGGAAATATACACGGGTGTTTAGAGTTAACTGCCGAGTTTCGATCGGCAGTAAAAATATATCCGATTTTCACCAAATGCAACGGTCGTCATACGAACATATAAAGGGTGATCCATTTCAGGGTACAACATATTTAAAGAAATAACTCAGAAACTTCAAATTTAATGGGGAATGTTTTTTTTTATCATGAAGATTATCTCTTTCAAATGTTGGCCGCCGCTACGTCTCAGATGGTCTATCCGTTGAGTTCTTTTTGCGATGACTCATTCAAAAATTCCGACTAGTTAGTGGCGAATGACACGCGTAATGTTTTGCTCCAAGTCGGGATTGTCCGCTTAGACTTTAGACTTTACATACCACACGATCTTGGTCGACAATCGACCGGCCCAAAACGTGAAATTATCAGCTCAGCGAAGTGTTTTCTCTCGGCATAGTTTTTGAAGAAATTTGAACCAAAGACGCCCAAAAATCACACCAAACCGTTGTTTTTTCTGGATAAAATGGCATCTTCTGAATCTCTTCATGATGCTCTTTGCTCCAAATGCACCAATTTTGCTTGTTTGCGCCAGAAATAGACCTCATTGCTGAACAAAATTTGGCTCGAAAACGTTGGATAGTCTTGGGATATTTCAAGAGCCCAAAAAGGGAAGGTCTTGCACAAGTTATAAAAAATTAGCTCTACTTGAATCATCCGTTAGTATTATTCATACCGAGATAAGTACCCTGATAATTAAATGCCGCTACCGTTATACATGATGTTTTTTCTCAAAAATATATGGATACATTTTGCTTACGAGTAACACACTTATTAAATACTGTCTCATTTATATCTAAAAAAGCTTATGGTCGTCATCGGAATATATAATATAATATATTATACAAGATCTTTTTTATACTCTCGCAACAAAGTTGCTAAAGAGAGTATTATAGTTTTGTTCACATAACGGTTGTTTGTAAGTCCTAAAACTAAAAAAGTCAGATATAGGGTTATATATACCAAAGTGATCAGGGTGACGAGTAGAGTTGAAATCCGGATGTCTGTCTGTCCGTCCGTCCGTCTGTCCGTCC